CACCAACAAAGCATTCCCAATCAATAGACGAGAATGATGAAGGGACGGATCCAGGACTAGGTGGTGCTCATCGGTTCATATTGATTCCGGCTAAGTACTGTTCGGTTTGGACGTTTTCAAACATCAATCTGGCAGGCGAGCGCAGCAAACGTGTCCAAGGGACTGTACCATTCGAAAACGACAGAGGAAAATGAAGAAAAGCGAAGTTGTGCTGATAGTGGAACGGAGTGGATACTGACAATCACGATGCACCCAGAACCTAAATACATATTAATTCGGGTGCATATAACTAACCATTTTTTGAAAATTGAATGTCAAAAGACGGACGATCTGGCTCCTCTAGCCCTGTGCAATGAGGAAGTCTATAAGGCAACACGCACAAGGCATGTCCCAGCCGTAGCATTAATGGAGGATCCAGTGGCGTGTTCAGTGTCCGGTTGCGGTATTCACGATACTGCCAACCAGGTTGTCCAATATCATTGAGGAAAATGGCGCTTAAAACAAAACTTTTCATATTCCCAACTCGTATCGACTATGCAAAACTGGCTGAATTGTTAGGAATTACACTGGTTCATTAAGGGGAAACTAAATGAAAAGTTCGCAACTCGTCATATTCATATTCATACAGTTCAGGCTGCTGGGTATCTCACCAACAAGAAGTTCTATTCTCGCAGCTTGGTTGGGCAATCCTCTCGATCTAATGCGCAAAAGCAAAACGGTACAACCCTGAACAGCACCACGATTACTACTTTCTTGCTGAAATCTTATAAAAAGAGTTATGGGTGAGGGGTCCCTTTAGGTTGCGAGTGAACATGGAATGAATGGTACAGCCTACTTCAAATGGCACATCTTTTAGAGCACCTTATGAGAAGAAAAATATACAGAATATAGGCATGTTTCTGCTCCACAATCTGACATACCATGAACACTTAGTCGATTTAGCAAAGACCGAGTCAAAACACGATCTGGTTCTCACGCGTACATTGCTTTATACTTACCTTAAAATTGATTGTCTATCACCTTTCATGAGTGCCTTGCTAGTGAAGTGAGTTAAATGCTTACGGGTCGCACTGTATTGTCTGTAAACTACCTAGCCTGAGCGGACGACGGCTGTTCAGTGAGGTAAACGACGTTAATCGGTCGACGATAGAAAATTCAAATGCTTCTTTTCCTTATCTATTCGGCAGTATTTTTGTTGTCAATCTGCTCCTCCCCATGATTCGATTCGTACTATCCAGACAAAAATATGGACAGTGATATTTACCGGTTCGTTCTCAAGTAATGCTTCCAGTTTATTCTCGATTGATTCACTTTTCAGATGCGGTTAGATCTTGAGCCTTTGTGAGCCCCTCTGTATTGGGTACCAAGGAATTAAGCCAAATCCACTTAGCCACAGATAATTTGATGCTGTTAATCTATTTACCTAGCTAGTTTTACCAGCTGCATCTATCCCTCACCCTTGTCCTCTGTTTTTCAACACTTTCATCTAAAAGGTAAGCAGGCAAAACTTAAACAAATACAATGACACAATAAACTGTAAGCAAAAAATGTACAAGAAGCGATAGTTGTTTTGTGTTGCGGAGCCAGAGAAAAACTACTTATCCATCCTAACGGTGGATGGTAACGCGTCGGAAGACAGTTTCAGTCATCTGACTACTATGGATTGCCATTGCAAGTCTCGGTTCTTAGTCTGCCGGTTTCCACGAGTCCACAACATGTCCCCAAGATTACGAAGTTTGTCCCATTGGTTGTTCATCACACAAGGATGTGCAATAAGGAGAATGCTTTTTCTATTGGATACATCTGAGGTGAACAGTAGAAAAGCCTGTCCTTGGAAAATATCACTATTGCAAAGAAATGTAAATGACCCATTGACTAAAAGCGCACAATTTACGTCCGAGTACACAAGTATAAACTTATTGCTATTGACCACGCCGTGAAAATATATCTTTGGAGTTGTGTTGAGTCCAGAGAAGCCCAGCACACAGATGTAACAGACGTGGATAACACCAGAGACCATCTGATTTGCATTAACGATCTGCATGCTATCAGAATGTCAGTATGGCACAAAACACCCGACTACAAAACAACGTTTACACGACCACTAGAAGTTATACACACGCACGCGAAATACACAACAACTGGAAGTCAAACAGTCTTCACATTTAGAGATCAGAGAAAAATGTAGAACGAAGCGAGTACCTAGCTTCTGTAAATGTATATTTCCGGAATCGTCCAACACCGCCGAATGCGATACCAACGGCAAAACCCTCGGGAATGTTGTGCACGGTGATAGCAAAAATTAGCAACCATAGGCGACGTGTCATGACGGACGTGGTGCTTGTTGGTTTGCGAGTCGCTTTACGATCCGAAATAGGCAGGTTGATCATGGTACTGGACGGATCCAATGGTTTGCGCACTCGCAAGCCCGGATTCGAGGCGCTGGATTCGGATTGAGCAAACTCGTTTTCGTTCACTTGGGGAAAAAGCGGTTCATTGGAAGAAAGACTAACAAATTAGCGACCAGACGTTAAAAATTTAAAATGAAGTGGTTAGGAGTGTATGAACGTGAACAAAATAGAAACCACAATAAATATTTTACCTACATCGCTGATAGACAGGGATATCCGACTCGAGGACTCACATCGAGCGTAGTTGCTGACCATAGCTTCTGATAGCCCTCATTTCAACGTTTGTGCCGTTAGTAATCTATCGTTTCAAACTTTAAAGCTCCAATTACACACCAACTCACTGAGCTTGTTCTGTGAATGAAGTATGCCATTCTCCAACAACCACAAAGTCGCAAAACTATATGGGGAATGTTCTTCATTTCCGAATGTTCAATGCATCAGCACTGAGAAAAGCTTGAAAGCCAGGTACGATCATTTTGATTCTTACTAGAAAGCATCCGCAGTACATGTTCGCTGAATTCACGGGTATGAATGGACAAGANTTGATTCTCAGAAGCTTGCTCTGCATCAACACTTTGCTACGCGAGACTTTTCCTTCTAATTCCCCGGATATTTTGGTAGAGCAAACGCATATATGATAGCGGCCAACGCGTTTTCATGTGTGAAATTAACCAAAGCTGATGCTGATAAAAATGCGAAAATAGGTCATTATCCTAGTAGCACATCAAATCACGCACCGGATCGACTTTGGTGGGGTGCGGATAAAAAATTACATCGAGCCCGAGCCTGTTTTGTGATACTAGCTTTCCTTGTGCTTTAGTTAGCGCAAACACGTATACTTGCAGTAGGAAGACACTGGGATCAAGCTAACCTGCCAGGCTGAAATTCCAATTGATCTTTCAAAGTTGCAGCAATTCTGTACCCGGGGCCCACGGAGGTAGTTGAATCGAACAGAAATAATCACAAAACAAACACCAACACTTTAAAGATTCACGCTAGATTTATCAATGAAAGTGAAAAGTTCATATTCCGGTGATTCAAAATCAACGATGACTAAAATGATTTATTTCCTAACAGTTTGTAGTCCAAGAATAAGCCAACTGGACGTTCTCCTCTCGGTTGCGGACCATGAGAGCTGAACTGATACTAATTTGATCCGGTCAAGTTGGAGGAGTCACGAATAGGTGATTCATATACTTCGGCATATTCTATGCACTCACGGAGAGTGGATGACACTAGAACATGACACATTGCAAAAGAAAATACGAGAAACGAAAGAAAGCACGTAAATGAGGTAAAAGTCGAAGTAGACTCAAAGCAGTCACATAGCCTGAAGGGGAATTTAGACCTGAAAAGGACGAGGACACATTCGGAGCCGTTGGCATTTGTTCGAGACTCTCTGTCGGATCGGTAACGGATTCCAGCCACTGGAAAGAAGAGACGAAAAAAGAATTGTTTGCAATGAAACGGATCATCCAAAGTCTCCTAGTCACATGACGCACGCTTACGGAAGAAGAACAATGACAATCGGTCTTAGACACAAAATAACGTAGAAAGTATTCCGGAGTCGAATAGTGAATTTTATGTCCGGGAGAACGGGCAGCGAATGAGCATCACAAAACAACAACAACAACGAATCAAATGCACCTGACGAAAACATTCTGCTGGCAAGAAAACTGTTTGCACGGGTTAGTGGGGTGTGGTGAATTGCCAAACTTTGAATCTGACAAAATTCGGCCAAACTCTGAACTTACGAGAATCAGACAGTTAAATCACGAAGGTCATATACGATGTCCAGCGCCGAGGAAATCGAATGCGATAATCGAACCGAATTTTTAGGGTAACAGAACTTCACCCATCCATTGGTGCGTTCAGTGTGTGTGTTTCAGTGGGTAGAATCAAAATCAACTAGGTTCTATTGCGTTCAGTAAAGAGACAAAATTAATGCGATAATAGAAAGTTTCCAGTTAGAGTAGTAAGTACCGAAAAACGTGCAAACAGCTTGGCTCTGAATCAGTGCGCGTCAGTAGCTATTTTGTTGACAAATTCATGCTGACACGATTTCCTGTTTAGTGTGTGTGCTTAAATCTGGTATAATGCAGCTCACTGTCAAGTCAACAAACGCTTTATGCAATCTACAAACGGGTACAGTGGATGTATAAAACAAATTGCGATCAACATAAAAGGACGTCATAACAAATTCTATACTGTGAAAAATGAGAGATGGGCGAAAGTTGTCTTACGATTAACCAATAACTGAGCAAGGTATGGAATTATACTGTTGCTATATGTGCACATACGTGCAAGGAGTTTATATTTGGAGCGAGTTTGGGGATCTGATAGGATTTTCACGATTTCTTGGTGCAAACAGTGTCCCGGAAAAGTGATATTTTCATAATATTCCGGATAGTGGGTGTAAGGTCAAACTATGTGTGGGATGGTTCCGTTTTATGCGCACACATCATCGAGGTCTATAGTGGCATTTAAAAAGTACACATTACGCGGTTTTCTCTCGTGGAAAGCGGCAATGATCAAAGGTTAAATTTGGTTGGGTTACTTTAGCATTAAGCACGTCCGGGACTGAAACACGGACAGAACTCACAGAACCTTTTTCACGTGAGTGAAACACGGCATTTTACCTCACAGGCGCCAGTCCATTGCGCGTCCGTCTGATCAAGGCCACCTGTCAAAATGGCGCCAGGAGCTGTGGCCGGCCCGGTTTCGGGACCTGAATAACGAATACATTTCTCCACCCAGCCGGTGAGAGCTGAGGTGGCAAAGGTATCCACAACTTGCAACGCTTCGCTTATCCCTAGAGTGAATCTAATTCGTCTCAAATTTAAGAACAGCAACACATTTTTTAGTGGATAGACAACTTGCGCATGAAGCGAAAGACGTGCTGATGACCATTCTGTGTTTATAAAAAACATGGTTATGGCAACGACGGAAACGGATACCGGATGGCTGGATTTTCAGTCTGACAACATTAAGCCTATATCGATTGTCAACGCTTTCACTCCTTCCCCCCCCCCNCTGGAGCGCTAGCCTCCTGCTACTGCTCACAATGATGATAATAATACTCTGACAGATATACTAAATGAAAACAGTAGCAGTGATTAGTCGCTTGCGGACACCAATAAGGTGCACAGAGAAGCCCACTGTCCCCGTTGGAATGTGATGCCAAGTTGGGGTACTAAACGGAGTGCAATTTGTTCAACCTGACGGACCTTACTGGTGCATGGCGATTCAGAATTTGTTTGGCGCCACTCACGTAGTTCTCTGATCAAGGATTATGTGCGTATCGGCGTATAAAGTAGCATATTGCGTTCAACTTTTGATTAGAAAAATGGGACTATAAGTACGAAAGGAGCCTAATGATTTCGCAGTGGAACTATTCTAGAAAATAAGTTACAATGAAAAAATAAGTATAAAACAATTATAAAAAAGTTGGCTATCACACGTGAAATTACTGTAAGGTCAAGCGCGCAACCGAATCATCTATGAAATCTATTAAGTAGATAGGACGCACACAGAAGCCTTTGACAAAGTCCCCCCATGCAGGATTTCGTCATCCTTCACTAGGACGGGAATTCATGTATATCAACGATGTTTCAGTTAACCTACTTCATTCATATCCGGTGACTGTTTCGAACCCAAATCGTCCTTGGGGTCGAATCATTCGACCTAATATTCTTTGGATCCTAAATTGATTTTCTCGATACCCTGTGATAGGTTACCTGTAAATGATCAGATTGAATTCGCGTGGGATTGCACAGTGACTGTGTGGTGTTGCTCAAGTTTATCACGTTTTCTACATAATCCAGTTTACTTTTGTCCATCTAGCTCTACTTTCAAATGCAGTAAGCCGTAAGGCTAAAAAAAATTTATTCACGCTTTTGGGTACATATAACTAGAGAGATACGACAAATGCAAAATTCGTTCTGTATTTACAGTAGAGCTTGCTGGAGTAATTCACGACGTCATTATAAATATATAACAGATTTGTTGAGATTCACGGCACTTATCTTTGTTTGTGTCCTTAAATATCAACCATTGGAAATCCCGCTTTATAGTCATTAAAGGCCCACTGAACATGACTCAAACGTTTGAAACTCTTTGCAAGTGTATTGTAAAGCATTCATGTATATGCCACGAAAAAAGGAGAATCCACAGTGAGCCCCTGGGATTGTCTGTGTTGTCAATTTACAACACACTTTCAATTTATTCGCAGCAGCCACCCTCTCAAATCCTTCCCATACACAATAGCTTCTCACTCACGTTGCTATAGAAATAGTTTCGTTTTCCTGAGTTCGTGCACAACTCAGAATGCATGAGAACACACCTCCGCTAGAGTGAGTAAGCAGGTTATTCTGGATGGAACATGCATACTGCGCCATGTCAGACACTCTCGTGAAGGAGGTGACAATTAAATAAATTGGAAAGCTGGACGCTGGCTGACCATACGGTGGAATAAGATGATGAAAATCGGGGCTTTCTCCAACTGTTTTCAAAATACAATTTATCAAATGCCCTCAAAGTGGCCTCATATCAAGTATCCTGAGATCTCCTTTTGTTCCACTAATATAACTGATTGAATTGACTGACTACCCTTCGGACATTACCCTTAATCCACAGTTCATCGGTTCAATTATGCACCCGGAGTTAAAATCCCGGGCGGGACGGTGGATATACACCACTGATGAGCTCTAATAAGAGCGAAACTCTGGTCTAATGCTTCCGAGTGCATAGTTGAATCGATGAACTGAGGATTGCGCGTGAAGGTGAAGTCCGAAGGATAGTCAGTCAAATCAATCAATATCAATTATCCCAAACGCACTACTCACCAGTAACTGTGAGTCAAATGCGAAGATCACTCAGATAATTTTCAGTGCAGCAATTACATTTGCTAGTTGTGCTAGTTATCCAAAACTTGTTTACCTTTTCAACTGACGGACCATGGGCTTTCCGCCGGGAATGAAATTGGTGAGACGGAATGTGAAAAGAAACGAACTCCCAAGAAAAACACCCTGATTAGATCAAACACCGGACTAGCGTAAGATGGGCAATCTTTGCTTCTCTCAGAACGGCAACTGTAAGCAACGAGGTAGGTAGAGATGCTCTGTGCAGGTTCTTTCCGCAGACACACACACGGAGCTCGTCTATTCATTGAAATTCAGACAAATCTCAGTTATGAATTTATGTTCTTGACTCCAGGATGATTTCCAATCTTGTTCGTTTCTTATTTAAACGTTAATCAACATCTCCGCCACAAACTCATTCGGTGCGCGCCGTTTTAGCCCATCCAAAATTTTCAATTCGTATTTCTAATAACCTAATCCAAACAACTTTGTCCGAATCATTGTTTTTTATCAATACATTAAAATTACAAATCTTCCTACAGCTCAAACAAGTGAGTTTATCCAACTACCTGTTTCAATTTCTGCTTTTGGAATGCTGCCTTAACTTCCCGCCCTCTCTCTCTCTCTCACCGATTTTGGTCTGTTGATTATAACACTGCATTACCCATGATTCACAGTGCGGATAATAGAAACAGAGTGGTGAACCCCAAAAGGCCCCACTGGGTCAGGCGTGGTATTGAACTGGACGACAGGAAAACTGTTTACCACTATGTGTGCATCAATGATCTACCCAGTCATACTGGATAAAATCTGCATGAATATTGATGGTATATTGTGACATCCTTTGCCAACTTGCCTGGTCGGGAGTTTTTGGTATCGAAAGATTTATCATTGTTCTAATCAAACTTTTACGCGAATGTTTGTACCCAACGGAAGAGAGAACGCGAAACAGTTGCATTCAAACTGTTCTGTGATGATGTTTCTTTTCGTTCTCATGCTTTTCATTCTGTTTTACCCGGTATTTCATTTTCGATGGTATATCAAAAATGTCGAAGCACCGTTCGACTCATCTGATTGCTCCCGGAACACGCTTCGATGTTTGAAAAAAAACCGCGAAATGCTGAGAATTCCAACAACAAAAACTTGTTTCAGTATACTGCTTTTCAGACTAGTAGGTTGAGAATATTGAGGGTCCGAAATTCGACTACCTTTACTGCACTTTGTCAGTCACTGAGTTTGCTCCCATGTTGCTCTGATTGCAAAGTTCTGCGATCACCATGCAAATCTTTGTGAGAAGCTTACCTATCAGATTCTATCCGCTGATCCCAACTGTTACCCACAAACGGGTTAGCTCCGACGATGAACGTCTGATTTTCACTGTAGGGAGCATAATTAGACACTGGACGGTTTCATTCACATCTTTGGGAACAGCAACGTTTTATGAACGAACTTCTCAAAATTCCGAGATTTAATCCCTGCAACGTTTGCACGACTTGGACTTTTGTGCAACATCCTTTAAAATTCATTGAAAATATCCTTTTAAAAACTAGTAACAGAAAAAATCGAAAGATTCGCTTCCATAAAGAATAAATCGTAAACCAAATTGAATGTGTGTGTGCGCGCGCAGCCCCATCCATCGTACAACCTCTTCCACCTTAGTGGAGCGAGTAGAACGATTTTGAATTACATTATCTCATATCACACGATGAGACGAGACAGGACTGAGATAAAAACAATTGTGCTTGCGTCCCTGAACACACCGACACAGGATTAAACAAGAATTGTGGCCGTAATGAGGCCGGTAGTATGAAAGTTTCGATTATATGCCAGGTTTGCGAGTGACGAAAGCACATTATTGAATACAGAAGAAAAACAGAATATATCTATACTTAGAACGACCAAACCGTCAGTTCGACCAGTTTTTGGATTAATCGCACGCATGTCCGGGCAACGATATTCAGGCCATCTATAGTGCTCCGCAATCGGTTTCTTCTATCCAGTGAAACAACAGCCAGGCAATTGATCTCTGTAGTTGACGGGTAACTGCTGCAGGCTTTTGGACTCGATAACCAACAAGCGGCTGGATTTTGAATAATTCCAGTAGAACACACTACTCCAGCGTTAGGCCGGGGACAGTTGGTTTATGCGGCAGTCATCGTGCCAGTGCCTGTCCGTTTCTTATTTCACGCATACAAGCTCCAAGGTATTGCAGTACATTGTACATATCTATCTTTATTGTCCACTCACTCCCCAGCTCGGAAGAGCAGAGCTGTATGCTACCGAGCGCGTCTCCAGGTCGCGGATAGGGGAACGG